CAGAAGACGAGGTCTGAAGTTGTGGACACTGGTCGGATGTTTCATTTAGTCACTGAATCCTCTCTGTGCCTCAGAAGCAAAAAATAAATAAAATAAAAATAGAAAAAGACTGAGAGCCAGAGCCTTCCCTTAAGGAATTCATTGCCTACAAGCAGTAATGAACTCTAAACCCTGGGTAGCTGAAATCCTCAGTGAAATCATTAGAACATCACTCTTCGCCTTAGACAAGAGTACTGAGAAGGCCTGGCCCCGGCACATGCAGGGGCGGGCTTGGAAGAAGGAATGTGTGCTGGCCCTGAAGTTCTGGGAGGAGTGGGGCCAGTTTGCTTTGCCTTGTGTACCAAGAAATCCCTTGGTCCTGAGAAAGCAGAGGCCAATAAAGGAGGGACAGTGACAAGTATCCTTGAAAGAAGGCCATCAAGACCTCTGGGCTCAGATCTGAAGTACTGTCCATTTCTCTGTAGGATATGAAGAAATGGTGATCTCCTGATTTAGCCCTGGGAAGTGTGTCCAAGTTCCTTCGGTGCGTGGGAGGCAGGCACACGGGCCCTAATTTTGAACCTGTGGTAAGAGGATAAAGCATAAGAAGTGATAATGGTGGGGAAAGAGCTGGGAGAACAGCCAAGCCTAAAATCTGAGGTGTAACCAGGTCAGATGTAAGTTAAGGCCAGACAGTGGACTGACCCGTCCCACTAGCAAAGGGCATTTAGAAACCTTTAAGCCCCATTGCCGCAGGCACTCTTTCCCCTATGGGAGAAGCAGGTTGAGAAATGTTGTTTGCGAATGAAGAACCTGGGAGAAACACAGGATCTTTTATTTCTCCAGGCCTTTTCAGGTAGCAGTCCGCCCTCTTAGGGCAGTGGGGGATTTTTAATGAGCTCTGCAGGTTTAGGTTCCCTGACAATCAATATCTGAATTTGTGTGCAAAATTTACTTATAGCTGTGCACAGGTGATGCCTGCCAGTAATGCCAACACTTGGGAGGCACAGGTAGGAGGATTAAGAGTACAAAGTGACCCCTGGCAACTTAGTCAGTTCAAGACTTGCATGAGTTACATGAGAACCTGTGTCTTAGTGTCTTATTGCTGTGAATAGACGCCATGACCATGAAACTCTTACAGAATAAAGCATTTAATTGGGGCCAGTTTACAGCTTCAGAGATTAGTCTATTATCATCATGGCCGGTAGCATGGTGGTGTGCAGGACATAGTGCTGGGGAAGTAGCTGAGAGCTCTACATCCGGATCCACAGGCAGCAGGAAGAGAGAGACACTGGGCCTGGCTTGAGCGTTTGAAGCCCCCAAAGCCCACCCCCAGTGACACACTTCCTCCATCAACATCACACCTCTTACTTCCTTCTCCAGTAGAGCCATGCCTTGATGACCATGCTTTCAAATACACAAGACTAGGGGGTCCATTCTTATTCAAACCACCACACCCTGACTCAGAAAACCAAACCAACCAAAACTGTCATTATATAAGATCTACAGGCTCCTTCCATTGCTCTTGGTTGCCTGCTATAACCAGATGGTAAGACTATTGCTAAAGACACAACACACTTTGGCTGCAGGACAGAGACTTTAAGCTGGACTGACCTAAAAACTTCCTCCCTGATGATTAGCTTTAATAGTGATGGAAGGAAGGAGCTATGCAGACTGCCAGAGGAGAAAATTCATTAATGGCATTACCTCACAGTGAACTCTGAATGCTCCAACACCAAGCTGCTAGGCAGGATAAAATGGAAGTTATGGAGGGAACCACATGCTGATTGGATCTGAGGCCTTCTTCACAAGAGGGAATTTATGTGTAGTATTATGAACCTGGGCAAAATTCCACAGCTGTGGAGGCTCTAGAAGGGAACCTATGACTGCTGTTTTGCAAAATACTCACGCTGTCAATCTGCCTTCTAGATATTTATATTTATACACATAAAAGAGTGTTGCTATAAATCTTGGTCAGGGAAGCTTCTTTATGTAGCGGGCAACAGTTAATGCAAGAGACTCATAACTAGTTTAGTGAGAAGTGACTATTGTGCTCAGCCCTGCATAGGACACCTACGCCATGCCCCCCTCCAGGCTCTGGGGACACAAGGAAAGAATGTAAGCGTAGGAGGATGGGGAGTAGGGCTGTGAAGTGCTACCTTCTGGACACGGCATGGCTTTTGCACTCAAGACTTCCCTGTTGCTGGTGACTGACTTGCACAAAATCAATTAACCGTCCAGCAGGCAGTACTATTGAGCCCAGAGAGCTGGGGGAGAGCAGAGGGGAGAGGACAGGTGACATGATGAGAAGTGTCCAGGCAGAGCTGGGGGGGGGGCTGTGATCAAGATAAACTGTATGGGCTGGAGAGTTACTTGGCTCAGAAGTTAAAAGCACTTGTTGCCTGTGCAGAGGACCTGGATTCAATTCCCAGCACCCACATGGCAGCTGAAAACCATCTAACTCCACTCCTGAGGCCTCTGATGTCCTCTTTTGATCTCCAAGGGCACCAGGAACATGCTATATACATACAGGCAAAACACTCACACACACAAAAATGTTTAAAAGGAGTCTGGAGAGATGGCTCAGCAGTTAAGAGCACCGGGTGCTCTTCCAGAAGACCTGAGTTCAATTCCCAGCACCCACATGGTAGCTCACAACTGTCTGTAACTCAGTTCCAGGGAATCTGATACCCTTACAGACATCCCAATGCACATAAGACAAAATTGTTTTAAATGTTTAAAGATATTGTGTGCATTTATGAAATTACCAAAGAATAAATGATAATCTAAAACACTGAATTTTCTTCAGCTGATGGCATTCATCAAGGTTTCAAATTTGTTTGAAATCAGAACACAAAAGCTTGGCATGGTGGCACATTGCTATATTCCCAATATGAAGCTGAGGCAGGAGAACCGCCTTGAGTTGTAGGCCAGCCTACAGCCAGTTTAGAAACTCTTAGATTAAGCAGCTTTTAAGGTCCACATTTTCCCATTTTAGGATCTTTGATGCTTGAGCTCTGGAAAATGATCACAAAGTTCCAGAGTCCAACAACCCCAAGAAATATTGCTGTGAGAAATAGGCCAAATATTAATAATGTAAGACAGAGCTTTCCTTAGTTGTAGGCAGGGAAACTGATGGCTAACTGTATGGACAAGCTTGGCTAAGTTATTTGCATGTTGCTCTGGGAGGTATATTTTGGACATGACTGACATTTAAGGCAGCGTCCCTGAGTAAAGAAGACTGCTCCCAAAACATGACTCAGCCTCACCAATTGAACAAGGGCAGGCTTTGGAAGGAGGAATTCCCAAGCAGTAGCCCAGAAATGTGCCTTGTTTGCCAGCCTGCCCTACCTTTCCAGGCTTGCCAGGCCCCACAACTGTGTTTACCAAATTCCTTAAAGTCCGTCCCCTCAGGGATGATAGCTCAGTAGGTAAAGTGCTTGCCAGCCAAGCATGAGGACCTGAGTTCGATCCCCAGAGCCCATACTAAGATATCTATAAACCCAGGGAGCCGCAGGTCCTAGTGAGACTGCCTTGAGGGACAAGCTCAAGCTTAAGCTGTGGCTCTCTGGCACTGGCTCTCTTCCCTTCAGTATTGGTCCAGCTTCAGTTTCTGTTCTCAGGAGAACCAGAACAGCACAGGACTAGTCATCAGGCATGACCAACAATTACAGCGCTGGGAAGTCACTCACTCGCTTGCTCGCTCTCTTCCTCCCTCCCTCCCGCACTCCTACCAAGTGGTCTGCAATGGTAGGCAAGCTGAGGCCATAAGGAAAAAAATGTGTGTTGTTGTGCAGGGACAGACTATAAAGAGAGGGGCTGCCGGGTGGTGGTGGCGCACATCTTTAATATCAGCACTCAGGAGGCAGAGGTGAAATTGTGAGTTTGAGGCCAGGGTGGTGTACAGAGCAGACCGAGTTCCAGGACAGGCTCCAAAAAACATGAAAGCTAGTCTTTAAAAACCAAACCATGGGGCTCATGGTCATGCTTCAAGAAATATAGCTCAAACCCAATTTGGGCAAATCTGCGGAAAGCAGGTAAGCCAATAAGATAATAAGAACAAGAAGATAATATTCTTTTAAGCTGACAAATTACCCCACAAAACATCATCACGAAATCTAACTTTGACTATTTCTACAGCCCCCGGTTTTATTGCGCAAAGAGGCAGGCCGGGCAGGCATTACTTCCCACAGAGGCCCTAGGCTGGAGGGCTATTTGCACTTTGCTGAAAAATGCCTGGAAGAGCCTCTGGCTGGTGAGCAGCAGAAGAAAGTGAGCCGTTGAGGCTCCCAGATTGTCCAAATCTGCCACTGCCAGATACTGCGACGCAAAGTAACCTAAAGCTTGCTTTGGTTCATTGTCGGCAGCGGCCTTTTAGTGTCATACATCATCCCAGGGACATCTAGCCGTCGTGTATTAAACATGCAAGCTTTTCTGCGTAGGGATGTCATGAGGAACCTTGTTTACTTTCGGCCAAATATGCTTTTTCTTGAGTGGAAACAGGGCACAGTGGTTAAAAGCACTTGTTGCTCTTGCAAAAGACCTGGGTTCGGTTCCCATCACCTACGTGGCCGCTCACAACCGTCCGACGTCCTCTTCCACCCTCTACGGCACCAGGCACACACGTAGAGCACACACACACACACACACACACACACACACACACACACGCAGGCAGAACACATAAACCTAAAAGAAAAACTTCAAAACTTTTCACTCCACCTGATTTTTATTAACAGGCATTCGTAAAAAGTCATCTGGGCTAGAAGGGAACCTCTGAGTTTCAAAGTAAAGGTCCCTGAACCACGGCGCCCAATGCCGTCTTCGCCAGGTTCCCACGCGGCGCTCGGCGCGCGGCCCTGACGTCACGGGGCCAGGGGGCGGGACTGGAGGTGGGGCAGCAGGGCCTCGCGAGGGAGCGGGGCGGGGCCGAATCTCGCGGAGGGGTGGGGCGGGGCGGGGCCGAATCTCGCGGAGGGGCGGGGCGGGGCGGGGCGCGGTGAGGGTGGTGGCCGCGCCGCGCGCGCTCCGCCGGGGGTCTGGCGTTTATAGCTTGGCGCTGGCCGGGCCCGGTGGCGGCTGCGGTGCGCGGGGTCGCGATGTCGGGGCTGCAGGCGGGTGCAGAGCAGCGGCGCGAGGAGCCGAGCGCGCCGGCCTCGTCGCCCTCTCGCTTCGTGCTAGGGCTGGACGTGGGCAGCACGGTGATCCGCTGCCACGTCTATGACCGGACGACTCGGGTGCGAGGCTCCAGCGCGCAGAAGGTAACTGGGCGCGGAGGGCGTGTCTGGGTCTCTGGCTGCACCCTCGCTCCTTCTGCTCCCCTGGGGACTCAGGCCAGTGTGGCCCGGTGCCTGTCGCTAGCTTCCTGTCCCACGGGATTCATCGCTCTAGCTTTACCTGAGTGAAACTGAGATGACTCGCTGGGCTGCACGGACAGGCTGCCTGTGTGTGTGTGTGGACAGAAGGCGGTTTGTGATTTCCTGGGTTTTTCTGCACTTCCCCATCGACTTTCCAACTCTTGTCTTCCCACATTTTAGTTCTTCAGATATCGATGGACTGTAAACTTACATATTTTTTCGGTTGTGTCATTTAAGAAGAATTCATTACACTTATTTATTATGTGTGTCTGCATGTGCTCGTGTGCTGTGGTGCACTTTTGGGGGACAGAGGACAACTTTCTCGGCCATCCGTTTTCTCCCTGGAATTGACTCAGGCCGTCAGGCTTGCTGGAAGCACTTTTACCTGCCTTGGCTTCTTACTGGTTGTCATTGTTGTGTTCCTGAAAGTGCTAGGTCCTCAGATTACCATCTGACTTCCCTGGAGATCGGAGATACTGAACAAGTTTTGAAAGTTGACTTGTCTGTACTTCTTTCCATCTTTGAAAATTCATAGAAATGTCTTCTTCAGGCTTGAGAAGCCATTTGGTTGGTGTTTGTTAGCAAAGCCTTAACACCCATTTTTAGTGACGTGCTGATTTCTATACAGGGATCAATGCAGTTGATTTGGTATAGTGTTCGTATTTACTCCTTTCAGTACCAGCATTGTTTTCTCTCTTCCTCTTCTTTTGGTTTTTTGAAACTGAGTTTCTCTGTGTAACAGTTGCTGGCTGTCCTGGAACTCACTTTGTAGATCAGGCTAGCCTTGAACTCAGAGACTGACCTGCCTCTGCCTCCTGGTGCGTGCGCCGCCACTGTCCTGCCAATGCCAGCGTTTTCTAACGCTTAAGATTTTAGAGAAGATGAGAGACATCTAACCGCTTCCCTACAGCTCTGGACTCTTTTCAGTGTGCTACCCTGCTTCTCACTCTGTCTGTGGATGCATTTATCTCAGCAATTTCCCAGGAATCCACTGATAGAGTAAAAGTAGTGACTGCCTTGAGCATGCGCTTTGAGGAAGAGACTTCATTCAGGGTTCTGTACTGGGGGAGTTGGGTCTGCTGCGGCTCCCTCTCTGGCTAACTGGGTGGGTAAGAGCATGGTCCACCCACTTAGTCCATAGCTGTGCCAACGGGAAAGGACGGGCAAGAGGCAGAGACTGAGCTCTTGTGTTATTGTAAGTCTTTATCACAAACACAATGATACTTTTTAGTGTTTCTTATAATTCTAGTCACAGAGTACATTTGCTTAAGCAGTTCATTTTTTAATTAGTTTTTTTATTTAGTGAATGAGAATTTGGATCATAAAGGAGTCAGCTCAGCAGGTAAAGATGATTACACATTGCTCCTGAACTTGATGCCCTGAACTGGATCCCTGGGAGGGTCATTGAGAGAGAAGAGAACTGTCTCCTGCAAGTTGTCCTTTGACCTCTGCATTTTAAACCATGGCACAAGTGTGCCCACCCGCCCCAAAAATACAAATTTTAATAAAATTTAACAAGTTGGTAGACACTGGGCAGTGGTGGCACAGGTCGTTAACCCCAGCATGTCTCTCCCTCTGGAGAGGCAGAGACAGGTGGATCTCTGTGATCTTGATACAGAGACAGGCAGATCTCTGAGTTCAAGGCTAGCCTGGTCTACAGAGCACATTCCAGGCCAGCCAGGGCTACACAGTGAGACCCTGCCTCAAGATGAAGTAAAGATAGAATAAGTGATATGCACTTAGAGTCCTAGGACTTCAGTTCACCCCATCATGTGACTGTGACTTAGCCATGCCATTTGTCTGTCCTCATTTTGAATATTTATTTGATGTGCATTGGTGTTTTGCCTACATCTGTAAGGCTGCATATCCTTTGGAACTGGAGTTACAGACAGCTGGGAGCTGCCATGTGGGTGCTGGAAATCAAACCCAGGTCCTCTAGAAGAGCAACTTTACCGCCGAGCCATCTCTCCAGCCCTGTGTCTGTCTTCATAATGGAAGTCACACCCCTTGTAATACAACGGAAGGATTACTCATAAAAAACTAAAATCTTAGTGTAGGAGGAGTTGATTCATACAGCCAGACATGTCACATGGAAAAGAAATAAAAAGCAAGGAGAGATCATCCCTTGAATACGTGAGCAGGACAGGCTCCCATGATCTTTAAGTTCAAATTGAAATCCAAACATGAATTTTTGCATTCAGTTTGTATGAGGTGTTTCTGGAGACTTCTGTAATATTTTCTTCTCATTTTTTATGGTGATGTTGGAGAACCTCCCCTCCACCTCCACCCTCAAGGTTCTGCATGTTACACCCTTAACCCCAGCAGCTGTATTTTTTTTTTAAGTCTTTCTTGGGGCCATCAAGATGGATCAGTGGGTAAGGTTACTTACTGCCAAGTCTGATGACTTGAGATCGATGCCTGGGACCCACATGGTAGGAGAGGAATGACTTGTCCAAGTTGATCTGATCTTATGTGCTCTGAGCATTAAGCATTTAGTCACACACAGAAAATACAAAAAAAAAAAAAGTGTTAAATACTAGAACAAAGGTCCGCATTTGCAGCTCTCAGATGTAGATTTGATACTTTGATTTGGAAACTGGGGAAACGCATCATGCTCCTCCCAGTGGGACTTGGTGCTTCTGAGAAAACCCTAAGATGTGATGGCAGGAGGAGCGGGACAGAAGGTCCCAGCACAGCGGCATCAAGGCCTCCAGCGCTGGAAAGCCGGGGTCACGCTTGAAGAAAGGACTCTGCCTTTTAATCAGCAGGTGTTTTCTTGTTAACTTTCACTGTTTCCTCCTGTTTGGGCTTAGTCCTCTTCCGCCAGGGGCACGTTTCTCATGCTACATGTTTAGGGATTCCCTTGGTTTGAGTTTACTCCTAAGGATTAGTGTTAGAATCTTGGCAGCCAGTGTGATGCTTTGGGAGCCTTAGATTCTATAGGAGGTGGGTCCTAGGGAGGAGTCATTATATCCTCAGGGAGCTGTCCTGGAGGGGAGTAAGGTACTTCTCTGCCTAAGGAGAACACTGCCTTCCTGCTCTCTGCTTCCTGTCTCTTCCTTCTCCTCCTTTCTCTCCTCCTTCCTTGTCTTCCTCCCTTTTCTCTTTCTCATACCCCCTTTTCTTTCTCCTCTTTTCCCCTCCTCCTTCTTCCCCCTCCTCTTTTTCCCCCTCCTCCTCCTTCCCTCTTTCTCTTCTCTTTTCTTTCTCCTCCTCTCCTTCCTCCCTGCTCCCACACTTTTTGTTTTGTTTTGTTTTTTGAGACAGATTTTCTCTGTACCTTTGGAGCCTGTCCTAGAACAAGCTCTTGTAGACCAGGCTGGCCTCACACTCATAGCGATCCACCTGAATTAAAGGCATGTGCCTCCATCGCCCATCTCCCTGCTCCCCGACTTTCGGTGACTTCAAACTCTTGGTGATACTCCTGTCCAAGACTCCTAAGTGCCTGGATCTTAGGGGTGTGCCATCATGCCTGCCTATTTCTTCTTTGTGTGTGGTCCAGGTAGAAGGCTGTCTCCCTCCACGGCAGTAGGATGCAGCCACGCGAGCCCTTGCTGACCTAAGTGGGCTACGTGATCTCGAACTGTCAGCCTCTAAAACTGATCCTCTAAAAACAAAATCTCAGGTGTTTTGTTATAGCAACTGAAAATGAATATGACTTGAGCTGTCCAGATTGGTGCAGAGGAGGGATGGAATCTGGAAGTCCCACCATTTGGTCTAAAGATTTGGAGGCTTGAAGCAAGGGAAGTTGTTTAGAGGGAGGAATCGTTTGCTGCAGTTGAAACATTCATTCTAGCACAATAAGAAAAGCCTTGTAGAACTGCTCCGTGGGAGGGAGTAGATTTTATTGAATCTGCTTCTCAGCAACACCACAGAAAATAGTGCACCCCCCCATCACCTTGGTACTCTCCGGCTCTCCAATTTTCTTTCTCCTGACCATTTCTCCCGTGTTGGAAAGTTCCTTCAAATGGTACTTGGTGAGTTGTCTGCTCATTTTTTCGGTACCTTGCTTTCCTAGAAGCACTGTAGCCTGGGTAATATTTGTAAGCTCACCTTCTCCGGAGAGTGAGTCTAGTACCCGTTGCCTGGCGATGAGAAGCAGAGGCAGGACTAAGTGACTTCAGGAAACCTTACAAAGACGTTCCTCCAGCAATCATGTATCTTCCCGTTTCCAGGGCTCAGCCCTAAATCCCTGGTCTCTGCTATGGGCTGCTTTCTGAGAGTTTGGGTGACTGGCGCACACCCCCTCTGTCTCTTCAGTGCCTATGAAGTCATAGGCACTCGTAGATGCTGAGGGGAAAATGGGCAGAGGAGACACACCTGTGGGTGCTCCATTCTGGGGACAGACAAGCGGCAGAATGACTCGCGGCTCACAGGGCATTAGAGGGACTGATGGCTTTACGTTGAGTGTACTGGGCAGAAGGGGTAGCGGGAGTGGCACCGTAACCTGAGCAGGGCATTTGCCACCTGCCCACTCTCTGTTCACTTGTTAAATCCAGTCTGATCCTGTTGGTTCTCTTCTCTTTGTCCTTGGCTTGGTGCCTTCTTTTTGAGACAGGGTCTCTGTAATTCAGACTGCCCTGGAAGTGAAAACAGACCTCCTGGTGCTGGGATAACAGGTGTGTAGCCCACACCTGGTTATCTTTAAGCTCGGTTATGTTTTTCTTTTAGAAGAGTCTTGAAAAGTATTGGGGATAAACATATATGTTCATCAGTTAAACTTTAAGCCATAGACTCGTAAAACGTTTTTTAAAGACTATTTAAAAATTTTTACTTATGGGTGTGTCTGTTTGTATGTGAGAGTGTATGTCACATGTATGCCAGTTCCTGCAGAGGGTAGAGTTGGAGCTAAAGATGGCTGTGAGCTGACATGGGTGCTGGGAACCGAGCTCAGTTACTCAGGA